TAATCCCGGTTCAGTTCTGGTTTAGTCCTCTTTTAGTCCTGTTTCAATTCTAGTTTAGTCCTGTTTTAGTCCTGGTTCAGTTCTGATTCAGTTCTGGTTCAGTTCTGTTTTAGTCCTGGTTCAGTCCTGGTTCAGTCCTGTTGTAGTCCTGTTTTAGTTCTGGTTCAGTTCTGGTTTAGTCCTGTTGTAGTCCTGTTTTAGTCCTGGTTCAGTTCTGGTTTAGTCCTGTTGTAGTCCTGTTTTAGTCCTGGTTCAGTCCTGTTGTAGTCCTGTTGTAGTCCTGTTTTAGTCCTGGTTCAGTTCTGGTTTAGTCCTGTTGTAGTCCTGTTTTAGTCTTGTTTTAGTCCTGGTTCAGTCCTGTTGTAGTCCTGTTTTAGTCCTGGTTCAGTTCTGGTTTAGTCCTGTTGTAGTCCTGTTTTAGTCCTGGTTCAGTTCTGGTTCAGTTCTGGTTTAGTCCTGTTGTAGTCCTGTTTTAGTCCTGGTTCAGTTCTGGTTTAGTCCTGTTGTAGTCCTGTTTTAGTCCTGGTTCAGTCCTGGTTCAGTTCTGGTTTAGTCCTGTTGTAGTCCTGTTTTAGTCCTGGTTCAGTTCTGGTTTAGTCCTGTTGTAGTCCTGTTTTAGTCCTGGTTCAGTTCTGGTTTAGTCCTGTTGTAGTCCTGTTTTAGTCCTGGTTCAGTTCTGGTTTAGTCCTGTTTTAGTCTTGTTTTAGTCCTGGTTCAGTTCTGGTTCAGTTCTGATTTAGTCCTGTTTTAGTCCTAGTTCAGTTCTGTTTTAGTCCTGGTTCGGTTCTGGTTCAGTTCTGTTTTAGTCCTGTTTTAGTCCAAGTTCAGTTTTGTTTTAGTCCTGGTTCGGTTCTGGTTCAGTTCTGGTTTAGTCCTGTTTTAGTCCTAGTTCAGTTTTGTTTTAGTCCTGGTTCGGTTCTGGTTCAGTTCTGGTTTAGTCCTGTTTTAGTCCTGGTTCAGTTCTGGTTTAGTCCTGTTGTAGTCCTGTTTTAGTCTTGTTTTAGTCCTGGTTCAGTTCTGGTCAGTCCTGTTTTAGTCCTGTTTTAGTCCTAGTTCAGTTTTGTTTTAGTCCTGGTTCGGTTCTGGTTCAGTTCTGGTTTAGTCCTGTTTTAGTCCTAGTTCAGTTCTTGTTTAGACCTGTTTTAGTCCTATTTTAGTTCAAGTTTTTAAGACGGTAAAAATCACGTACAGCAACTTTAATCATGCTTTTTTTAAAATTCACTCAAGTAATATTAATTCAAAGTAACAAAAGTTTTGACTATTCCCACTGTGAGTATTAGTTGGGAAATCTGGGAAATACCACTATTGTGTAATTTTGTGTTTCATCTTCCTGATCAAAGGTGAAATACAGAACTTTTCCTGCTGGTTCCCATGGAGATGTTATAACTTTGTGTGGAACGTTCAGTGTATAATTTAACTTTATGTTTTCATAAAGGTAGATGACGAAACCGGGTCAGGTCCAGGTCAGATCTGTGAAGAGGTGACAGGTAAGAACGCATGTCTTTCATTGTATTCTTTAGCAATAAAAACACCTGTAAATGCAGGATAAATACTGTGGAATATTTCAGGAAAAGCAGTAACATCTCCATGGAGACCAGCAGGTGGCAGAAGCTCAACCAAAAAAGTTACATAAACACAAAAATGAGGAGAAAATTCAGTTTGTCGACTGGACAAAAGTTAGTTTGGTTTCACTTCTTCAGTGCTTCTTGGATGAGCTGCGAAACGTCTTCAACCAAACTAACTTTTGTCCAGTCGAGAAAATTCAGTTTGTCATGGATTCTACCTGGACGACTGAGGGATTCTTCACATAAACACAAAAACAAAAATATGACTTTACATTCTGTTTTGTTGTAGTTTTTTTTTTCACCAAATACTTTTTCAGTTTTCACGTGAATATTTTTGACCATCCATCCGTTTTCATCCGCTTATCCGAGGCCGAGTTGCAGGGGCAGCAGTCTAAGCAGAAACTCCCAGGCTTCCTTCACCCCGGACGCTTCCTCCAGCTCCTCCACAGGGACACCGAGACGAGCCCGAGAGACAGAGCCCCTCTAACGTGTCCTGGGTTTTCCCCGGGGTCTCCTCCTGGTGGGACATGCCTGGAACACCTCCCAAGGAAGGCGTCCGAAACAGATGCCCAAGCCACCTCCTCTCCCCGACGTGGAGGAGCAGCGACTCTACTCTGAGCTCCTCCCTTTTCGACCGCTTGTACCTGCGATCTCGTCCTTTCGGTGATTACCCAAAGCTCATGACCATATGTGACCGGAGGAACGTAGATCGACGGTAAATCGAGAGCTTTCCCCTTCGGCTCAGCTCCCTCTTCACCACAACGGTCCGATACAGCAACCGCATCACACCCTTTTTTTTTTTTTTTCCTTCTTCTTATTTGATATTTTAAACTAACAATACTTGAGTAACAACATCTGGCTAATCTTTGTCCTGACAGGTTCTCCAACGGCTCGGGTTGAAGGACGGGTCAAATGCAAAGAATGAACAGAGCGCGTCTTAAATTATGCAACCAAAATACTTACTTTGTGTTACTATGGCAATCACTAAGCGAAAAGAGCCCATGTTTCGATTCTTAGTGATGTTGTTTATTTTGCTTATTATTTTGGAAATGTTATTATATTCAAGTTCAGTATAGTTCTGCGTGACTACATAAACGCAGGAGAGGAGTGGAGCTGGAGGAGAGCTGGGGAAGTCCTGACCTCCGAGCTGACCGCTGGAAGAACTGCCAGTCCCAGCGCACCAGGACCAGAGCACCAGACCAGGGCCAGGGCACCAGACCAGGGCCAGGGCCAGGCCGAGTGCCCAGAGGCTGGAGTCACCCACAGGGCAGAGGAGCTCCTTGTGCTGCACAGCGCCGCTTCACCCTGTCATCTGAGGTCTGCGGTCAGTTATGTCATTGGAGCAGGAAACACTTTTCATAACAGTGCAGGCTTGTATTCAATTTTGCCATAATCCACTGTTCCAACTGGTAAAATTGGAAAGACTGCTTTTCACTTTTTTATTTTTGTATTTTTTTGTAGTAACCATGAAATCACTACGGGTGGATAAATAAAGTTACACAACGTATTTTCAGTTTGATCTAAATATTCTATGCATATTCCAGTTATGAATATGAGACGATATTAGAGTCTTTAAATCTATAACCACCGGGAAAACTTTTGGGGAAGTCTTTTTGGTTCCAATATTGGTCTAAACTTATAGATGAAGGAATTCAATATAAACTACTACAACGTGTCATTTTATATTATTAACGTATACATTAAATCAGAGGTGGAGACTTACAAGTGGTGACTTGGACTCGAGTCAGATTTGAGTCACTATTTTTTGGGACTTGAGAATTGACAAAATGGACTAAGACTTGGGACTCGACTTGGTCTTGAAGGTCAGTGACTTTGGACTTGAGCCCTATGACTGGAGAAGACTTGATGCTTCTCCTAAAAATGTTTGTGTTTTTAGAAAATACTTTTCTCTTCACAGTTGATACATGCAGTGCTGAATTATACAGGAACAAATGTCTGTGCCACTTTTCTATTTGTTACCTTGGATGTAACTGAAGTACTGTGATGCGGTGTCCTCAAATGTACTGCAGTAATACACAGAACAATACAGTACAACCGAGGGAACTACAGAGAACATGATCCTTCTATTTCAGTGCAGACTACATGACAAAAAACTGTTATTAAGCACTTTAAATGTTTTATTCTTTCTGTTCTGAGTGTAATGATTTAAGATCTTGTCAAGACATTTAAAAAGGGAACATTAGCATTTCTACAACTCTTATATAAATACTCATATATAAAAATACCTTATACCTTAAAATACCTTTTTAAGCACTTTACTTTTAAGTGCTTTAAAGACTTGAAATGACTTGAACTTGACTTGGACTTATGGGCCAGTAACTCGAGACTCGACTTGGACTTGCCTGTATTTGACTTGGGACTTAACTGGAACTTAACGTCAAAGACTTGAGACTTGCAAAACAACGACTTGGTCCCACCTCTGCATTAAATGAATAATGATGTTATTCAAGTAATCTGGGAGTACCTCACACATGGGTCAGTCCAATAAAATGCTGCTGCTGCTGGGGAAGTTTGAGCATAAACCCTTGTGCAGCCAAACCTCTTTGTCAAAGCCTGATCCCATCAGATCTCTGAAGCCGCGGGGCCGGGCCTGGTTGGTTCTTGAATGGGAGACCGCTGGGAATACCAGATGTCACAGTGGGGCGCCAGTGACTAGAACTGTTGTTGTGTCTTTATTATAAAACAATGAAAAAAGGATGTTTAAAATGCGCATGTTAATTAGTGCAAGTTCAATGAAGAGCTTGAAATGGTACAAAGGCAAGTCTTGAACAGCCAGATAAAAGATAAAAGATACAAAACACAAGTCCAAGCTCTGCCAAAACTACCTCAGGAAAAAGAACAAGATGTAAACTTGAAAACATGAAGTGTCCAGCACAGACTCCAGACTTCAACCCCATCGAGCTGGTTTTGGGATGAACTGGACAGAAGAGTGAAAGACAAACAACCTACAAGTGTCACACATTTATGGAAACTTCTGCAACTGACTTGGGAAGAACTTTCTGAAGAATATTTGATTTCTATTGTTAAAAAGAACGAGCCACGAGTGTGTTCAGCTGTTATATCTGCCAAAGGTGAACACTTTCATGAATCAAAAGTTTAGAATACATTTTGGTCGACAGTAAACAGTAAAAAAACTGGAAAAAGTGTTTTGTTCTATAGTGTATATTTGCGTAACAATATCAATACTCAAATTAGTACTGATTCGATGCTCATCTCTCTAGTTTAAGCCACAATACGAGCAGCTCAAACTAGAAAAAGACCTTTATCTTCACTGAACGCTGATCGCTTCAAGTCTTGCAGTGAATTAAAACCAGCTCTTCGAATGTGAAAAGTCTGAATAAAACATTTCGTATGGGCACAGCGGACCAAACCATAGACATGTGAAGTATTAGAAGAAAAAACACACAAAAACCCTTCACATTTCTGAGATCACTTTATGTTCAGTAATAGTGTTATAAACATGACTTTGTACAACATGAGATCCTGAAGACAGCCCATGGAGTAAAAACAAGCGAGCCGTACCAGTCTAACAAACCCATATACCCTCCTATGTAATGTACTTTCCCTCCGGCCCACAGAAAACCCCGCCTTACTTTATACATTTATGTCATCGACCGCTCCACGCTTTAAATAGCCCAGTGGAGCTTGAGTTTCTGGCTTCTCTTGCTGCTGCTGCTGTGGTGTGGTGGTGTAGAGAGGGGGGGGGGGTCTCTCAGGACAGTAAGGTCTTGACCTGCGGGGGCGACCGGGGCACCAGGTTCTCGGCGTCTTTGTATCCGTTGGCCGGGCTGGTGAGAGCGGCGTAGACCTCGGCGTAGGCCCTGCAAACCAGCTCTGTGGACTGGCGAAAGATCTGCTCCCTGGAAACGAGAAAGGAGAAGGATTTTAGTGCTGAAAGAAGGAATATGGAGCAAAAATTGTTAAAAACGGTGATTCTGATACCGTATTTTTACTTCTAGGGCTGTGAAAAGCATTGAAAGTCAAACACTGATCGATACTAAAACTAGATACAGAGAGAAAAAGAGAGGGAAAGAGAGAAAGAGATAGGGAAAGGGAAAGGAAGAAGGAGAAAGAGGTTGGGATAGTTTGGAGAAAAATCAGACAAATACACTGATAAAGGCGGATGGAGAGAGGTAGAGAGAAAAGAGAGGGAAAGAAAGGAGAGTGTGGGGTGAAGGAGAGGTGAAAACAGAAAGCTGGGGAGATGGAGATAGACAAAGAGAGATGGGTGGAAAGAGAGGTTGAAGGAAGGTATAGGGAACGAGACGAGGAGAGAAAGATGAGATAAAAATGTAGAAGTAGGGAGAGAATGAAGGAGAGAGAGAGGGGGAGAAGTAGAGAGAGAAAGAAGATAGAGGAGGAGAACAAATAAATAAGTAGGGAGAGATTTTCAAGTATCAAAAATCAGATAATCGATACTAAAACTAGAGAGAGAAAGAAAAAGAGAGGGAGAGAGAGAAAAACTTTGACTTGATGATAGAACTTATGGAGAGAGAGGAAGAGAGAGATGTAGAGAGAAAGATGAGGAGATAAACAAGTAAATGTAGGGACAGGATGATGGAGAGAGAGAGGGAGAAGTAGAGAGAAAGAAGAGGAGATGAACAGATAAAAGGTAGGGAGAGAGATTTTCAAGTATCGAAAATCAGATACTAATCGATACTAAAACTAGAGAGAGAGAGAGAGAGAGAAAGAAGTAGGGAGAGGATGACGGAGATATAGAGAAAAGTTAAGATAGCTGGAGAAAAATAGACACATATACAGAAAGAGGTGGATGGAAAGAGAGGTAGAGAGAAAAGAGAGGGAACGAATGAAGAGTGTGGGGAGACAGAGAGAGAGATGGGTGGAAAGAGAGGTTGAGGGAAGGAGGAGAGAGGGAGAGAGCGAGGAACTCTGACTTGACGATAGACTGATAGGGAAAGTATGGAGAGAGAGAAAGAAAAGAGATGTAGAGAAAAGGATGAGCAGATAAACAGGTAGAAGTAAGGAGAACATAAGGGAGAGAGACGAGGAGAAGTAAAGACAGAAAGAAGAGGAGATGAACAGATAAAAAGGTAGAGAGAGAGATTTTCAAGTATCAAAAACCAGATACTAATCGATACTAAAGCTAGATACGCATTTGAACAGGTATTGATACTAAAAACGTCACTTTTACAGGACAGAAATGAACCTTTACTGATTAGTTTTAGAAAGAGTTTGAGCTGTATCAGAGCACAGAGACTAGTAAACGCCCATGGACACAGATATAACACCACATGGGAATATAAAAGAAAGTACTATGATTTAATGTTTAGGGTTCCCACTCTTTTTCACTGACAAAATTTCTAAACTTTTCCATGACTTTTTCAAGACCTAAAGTGAATTTTCCATGACCTTACAGCACCTACATGTAGAATTGATCAGACTTTGAAGGCTAAATATGAAACGTTAACCCTTTCCACTCACCTTATGGTTTGGTATTATAGTTTTTTTAACATTCAAAAAACTGTCAGTGCATTTATTGTCGTCTCTTTTAAACAAAAGGCGCATACGTTCAGAAATAATCTTAATAACCTAATGAGAACTTAACAGAACGTTGTAGTTGCGTGAAAGAAATACTAAAATTCCATGACTTTTCCAGGATTTCCATGACCGTGAGAACCCTAAATGTTGAAAATCACATTCTTCTGTCTAAAGAGTTTTTTTTTTTTATTATCATCATGGTATCTACTAGTCAGGCTGGTGCCACCTAGTGCCTCCGCTCAATTTCATTCCTCTCCAGCGACTAGGTCAGGAATTGGAATATACTAGACGGTTTGCAAGAACCCCAGAAGTTGTAGACTGCACACCGGCCAATCAGAGAAGAGCTGTGCAGCCATGACGTCAAACTCAAGCGCCTGTCTGGGTCCGTTTTGTGAAACAGCAAAGCGTTGATGGATGTAGACGAAGACAGACATTCTGTGTTGGCAACGATTCCTGAGATCGAGGATTTAAAGCCCGAACAAAGAGAATGTTTAGTGAATTTTATCAAGGGGAAAGATGTTATTGCCCTTCTTCCTACGGGATTTGTCGCAATACATATGTCACGATTAAATAGCAGCAGTTGGTTAAATAAAAAAAGTACCTGCCTACTGTCAAGCAAACAAATCCTAATGCTGTGAGGTCAGACGGTTTCCACGAAGTGAAACCAGCTGATGAATCAGGCAAGGTACCTACATGCCTAAAGCTTAAAATGCTCTATTCCACCTTGTGATGTCATGTAGTGGTGGTGTAGTTCTCACATTAACAGCTCCTTTTACCTTTAGTTCAGCAGAGATTGGCAATTCATGGTCTGAAATCATCCGAATGATTCTAGTGAAGGTGTGTGGAGTTTAAAAACACGATGGAACATTTTCTGTATTATCACAAGTCGTAGTATTATTTCTGTTGAGCCTAAATATGCAGGATATGTGTGTGAACCAAAAAAAAAACACAACTCCAGGCCCGTTTTTGACGAGGAAACGACATTATAACACGGATGGGAAAACAGAGTAATATGGGCCCGCCTGATAAACGGCCCGAGCTACTGTATTTTCACACACATATCCTTTTGTTATTAGTCACTACTACCACGTAACGCGGTACTAATGAGTAATAGTAGTTCTTTGTGTACAACCGACGATGACATCAACGCGTCTTAATCCCTGCCACACCTCCACAACCTGCTCCACATTCTTTCAAACATGTGCCCTACGAAAGCATCTGAGATTTAAAAATAACTGGCCCTGATTTGCTTGGCTTGTGTTCAGGAGACAGACAAGAGTAATTACGGGTAATCGGGTACGAGTTTGCGCCGTGATTTGAGGTCATGCTCCGCGCCGTACGCTTTGACATAGAAATAAATGAGTCACGCGTCACTCGGAGAGATTAGCGCTCCCATTCACCGTGCGTGATAAAAGGGAGTCTGTACGGTGTACGCCGCCATCTATGGACCGTCTCATTATTTACTGTATATGTGGAGTATTTGAAAGAGAAGGATGGATGGAGGGATGGAGGGAGGGGGTGGGGGGTGAAAGAGGATAATGGGTTAGGGTTAGGGTAGAGAAGGTGTACAAAGAGATGGATGGAAATAAGGTTGAGGAAAGGGAAAAAGAGGAAGGTCGGGAGAGAGCGGGAGTTTGATTTGACGTCAGAAACGTGGAGAAACTATGGAGAGAGAGGAAGAGAGGGATGGAGAGAGAAAGATGAGGAGATAAGCAGATAAAGGTAGGGAGAGGATGAGGGAGAGAGAAAGAGAGAGACAGAGAAAACAACTAAACAGTGAGGAAAAAAAAGGAAGAGAGGGAGAGGAAGTATGAAAAGAGAGACATAGAGAGAGATGTAGAGAGAAAGATGGGGAGAGGGAGAAAGAGAGAGAGAGAGGGAGAGAAAGAGAGAGAGAGGAAGTATGGAAAGCGAGAGATAGAGAGATATAGAGTAAGAGGGGGAGAAAAGAGGGAGGGAGAGAGAGAGAAAGGGAGAGAGAAAGAGAGGAAGGGAAAGAGAGGGAGAGGAATTATGGAAAAAGAGAGATAGAGAGAGATGTAGAGAGAAAGATGGGGAGAGGGGGAGAAAGAGAGAGAAAGAGAGAGAGAGAAAGGGGGAGAAAGGAAGAGAGAAAGGGAAAGAGAGGGAAAGGAAGTATGGAAAGAGAGAGATAGAGAGATGTAGAGAGAAAGATGGGGAGACGGGGAGAAAGAGAGAGAAAGAGAAGAGAGAAAGAGACGGAGAGAAAGTATGGAAAGGGAGAGATAGAGATGTAGAGAGAAAGATGGGGAGAGAGGGAGGGAGGGAGAGAAAGTATGGAAAGAGAGTTAGAGAAAGATGAAGAGAGAAAGATAGGGAGAGGAAAGAAAGAGAGAAAGAAAGAGAGAGGAGAGAGGGAGAGGAATTGTGAAAAGAGAGAGATGTAGAGAGAAAGATGGGGAGAGGGGGAGAAGGAAGGGAGGGGAGAGAGAGAGAGAAAGGGAGAGAGAGGGAGAGAGAAAGAGAGGGAGGGAAAGAGAGAGAGATGTAGAGAGAAAGATGGGGAGAGGGGGAGAAAGAGGGAGGGAGAGAGAGGGAGAAAGAGAGAGAAAGTATGGAAAGAGAGAGAGATAGAGAGAGATGTAGAGAGAAAGATGGGGAGAGGGGGAGACAGAGGGAGGTAGAGAGAGAGAGAGAGAGGGAGAAAGAGAGAGAAAGGGACAGAGAGAGAGAGAGAGAGGGAGGGAGGGAAAGAGAGAGAGGAAGTATGGAAAGAGAGTTAGAGAAAGATGAAGAGAGAAAGATGGGGAGAGGAAAGAGGGAGAGGAATTGTGAAAAGAGAGAGATGTAGAGAGAAAGATGGGGAGAGGGGGAGAAGGAAGGGAGGGGGAGAGAGAGAGAAAGGGAGAGAGAGAGAGAGAGGGAGAGAGAGAGGAAGTATGGAAAGAGAGATCGAGAAAGATGAAGAGAGAAAGATGGGGGAGAGGGGGAGAAAGAGAGAGAGAGAGAGAGAATTATTTATATATATTATAAAACAGAAAATGGGTTTTGGGCGCGTGTGTTTTGTGTTTTTATCAAATTTGAACTAAGAGAAGCTACTTTAAATATTCCACCTGAAACACTTTGAATAATTGAACATTTTCATAAAAACCACAAGACAAACTGTGTATACGTATAAACGGACACAGCAAACCCACTAGGCGCCTCTGAGTTCCAAATACGAATGGCGTGATTCAGCTCCAGTGGCTCCAATTTACTTTCTATTGAACAATCGTCGCCCCTCTCCCTGTAACTGCAGCTGCCCGACTCCTCATTTGAATCTTAAAATGTTCGCATTAACTCTAAGCTCTACGTGATCATACGGGCTTTTGTCATAAGTTTGTCCCTAAACGGAGAACAT